TGATAAAACACGTACAGAAGTTCTTGGCGCATTTTCCATTATTTGTTGGACATTTTCTTTTAATTCTTCAGTCCGCTTTTTAGGTCGGCCGCTTCCTTCTTTTCTTGTTACACTGCCCGTTTCACGAAAAACATTAACACAACGCTGAACTGCACTTTGAAAAATTTTGTACTCAACAACGCCGGGAAATTGATTTTGAAATTCTATGAAACATTCCTCAATAGAATACTTCCATATTCCATCAATCTTGCGTCCATTTCTAAAGTAGGACTCTATGATAAACACTTTTTGTTCTTGAGAAAACACCATTTTAAACGCTTTTTAAAACGAAAATATTCAAATTGATAGCGGCGATATAGCGCTTTGACAGATGACGTTTAAGTTCATTTGCTATACGCTACGCCCTACGTCCAAATTTTCAGAACCAACTTGACCACGTTTTTATTTGAACGCTCGTTATATATATCAAAAACAGAGTTGGTCCCAGTATAGAACCTTGAGGTACGCCATGTTTAATGTTTTTCAAACAAGGTTTTATATTATTATGGATTACAAATTGCTGACGACTTGTGAGGTATGACCTCATCAATTCAAGACTATCGTGTGTAAACCCATATAATCTTAATTTATCGATGAGAATATTATGTGCTACACAATCAAATGCCTTTGTAAGTCCGAAAACTGGGAGCACACATATTCATCCTTTTCAAAACCCTCGTTTATATATTCAATCAGTTTGTCTGTAGCTAAAGTGGTGGAACAGCTATTACGAAAGCCATATTGATGAGGATTAAATAATAATTTATTTTCAAAACAATTTAAAGTTGACATTTTAGAAGACATTCAAAAATTTTGGGTTTCGTTATGTAATGCGTGAATTATCAGGACATATTTTAGAAAATCGTATCATCACCACCTTAAAGGCGTACTAATATTTCTCTTATTGATTATCTAACATTTTTAAATATGATAAATAATAATTATTGTAACTAAAATGATTTCTTACTTCTGAATCCTACTCTCGCTACCCAAGGATAAGCACCAATTCCATTATATCCTTCGCCCTGTACTTGCGATGTTCCACACCTTTGACCGTCCACCATTTTCCCTGGTGTCAGAGTGGCTGCTTCGCTAGCTTGCGGACAACATATTAGACCCGAACCCTGGTAACCACAGCTTAGTTCACTGATACTGCAAGGTTTGTTTTTCATTAATATTTTTCCAATATTATTTCTATCTAAATTTCCTTATTTTTGTAATTTTACCTCTTAGTGAGAAAACATTCGTTGTTTATTAAATTATTTAAAATGGGACACGATGACAGAGGAACACATTGACTGCTGGCGGGACAAAACGTTGACCTTTTACTGAGGCGGTTAATATCCTCACTGTCCTGTTGTAAACTACTCTGCACATTCGATACATCTGAAAATATGAAAAGCAAATGTTATAATAATTTAATCACAAGTAAAACAATAACTACACATAGTATTTCCGAATAGTTGCCATAAAATTGCTTAAGAAATAGAGAATACATAGTGAGATAGATAAATAAGCAATTTCGATTTTGTTGTTTTACAATTTTATTTGAAGAGCTAAAATAGAAAACATATATTCTAAAGTTATTGTCTGTTCATTGTTCCTTCTTGAAATTTTTTATTTTGTGTTTGACTCTTTTTTGTGCCATTTCACTGTTTTTACTTTGGGCTATTAAGCACATCTAAAGCAGGACTATAATAAAACCTGAGTAATTAGGACGTTAAATTTATGATCTGCTTTGAATTTGAGCTCGCAATAATTTATAACAATGTTGTATTAAGTATAAAAAATTTATGGGGTATAATTGATATGCAGTAAGACATATACAATGTAAAATGAATGCAAAAACTTTGTACTAGCCAGGAACATTATCAACTGTAGAAAACTAAAGTCGACTTTCGATCACACTTCTTGAAGAGTCCGCCAATTCTTGAGTTGGGTTTTCGCTGCCGTTTCTTGCCTTGGGCTTCTAAATTTCAACGATATCTGGTGTCTTGACCTGTCGTCGATGTGGTTCAGTTTATGTTAGTCGTGCTTCGTTTTTTTGTAGATATGGGGCAGAGGTGGGCACCAAAAATATAATCTTTTTGGTCGGACTAGCCGGCTGACCAGCTGGCCCCTTAAGGCCCACCCCAACTCGTACTTTTCGGTCTGATTGTGAGTGATTTTATAGATTCTTCGAGCTCTACGGGCGAGTTCCTTCTGTAGATTGGAAACATGAGTGAAATGTGGTTGTCACACTACACTATTTACCTCCTCTAATGGAATACGGAATCAGAGTTTCACGCAACATTTCGTCTTTCAACAGCTATTATCAATGTTATTCTTTAAATTAAAATATTAATATTTTTGCAACATTAAAATAATGCCATCCTTTTCCTTATCTACTAAAACATAATGTTTATGTTTTCAAACTCCAAAAATGTGGATAATGTCAAGAATTAGATGAACTTTGTTCTTACTAAGGTGTGGGAAATAGTAGAACACGAGCACCATAAGAAAAATTTAATTACTGTAATTTTATGGCTAAATAAATTCATACATAATTGATCATAAAAAATCCATACACTACTTCGGAGTTGTTGGAAAATTACAATAAAACAATCCTATGATTTAATGACAAATAAATTTATGACTGAATTGACAAGAAAAATGAAGACATGAGCTATATTCTTTTAACCAGTTTTAACTTAGAGTAACTAAGATACTTACTTTATATACAAAAGTAATCGTTCTTTTTACATTAATAATTTTGCTTCAAACTGAGGATAACTAAGAATTTTAGAAACCCCTCCTTACCCCAACTAAGCTAGCTTTTTAAAATGCTTACTAATCTGAAACCATGAATCTATAAATGTATTCTCTTTAGAGTCTTCTTTACTTCACTTTGTCTTAGCTAACTTACAATTAGTCTTAAGGGGGCGATTTAGTATGTATATTTTTACCATGTAACAGAGCTTCAGATGAGGACACAAATCGTCGAAGAAACTAACATAATTGAATATTATTATATATCAATGTATTCGCAATGGTTCCCGCTAGTGAGTGAAATAAATTTCAATGCTCATGAGAACAGAAGAATAATTTAAATAAATGCCAAAGTACCTCAATTTTAACCATACTGTTAGTCTGCCAATATATTCCATTTACAACGGAACTAGGTTAGGCACAATAACCAAACTACTTCACTCACTAGAACGGACACCTAGGATCATTTGTATTTAATTTTCAGATTAATATTTATTAATAGTTCTATAATTTGTGTCCTCAAGTGAAATGACAACATTTTATACACGACTCCATTTTTAATATGTATCTAAACTAGAATTGTCGAGTTTCCTACCTATTCACAAGATATTTTTAATTTCTTTCGATATAATTAGTTTGTACACTCTCTCACAGGTGTCGCTACCCTTGAAAATGAAAGTGAAAACACAGAGTTGGTTTATTATAAATGCGTCCTAAAATAAAGCATAATGGTTTAATATTATCTTTGATATACCTAGTAGTACTAAGTAGTACTAAGTACTAAGTAATGATTTTGTAAAGCTTAAATAGTACGAAAATATAACGCATAAAAAACCAATAATATGTACTAATTTTTCTTTATTAAGAATACAGATTAAATTTTACGTACAGGGTGTCCCACATAAAATCGTTATTTATGTTTAAATAAATTTACAGCTTAAAAATTAGCCTGGCTCAGATAGATTTCTTCTTCAATCTACAAATCTACAAATCTTCAAGCTACTTACCGGTAAGAAGGAAACCACTGGATATTTAATGAAAAAAGTTACGACCAAAAAAATTATACATTCTTGAATATAAATATAACTAACACGATTTTAATTTCATATTGTCTTGACAATCAACTTTTGCTTATTTTTAGTCACTTACTATCGAAATAAATGAAATAAACCTCTGAGTTTGGAAACCGATATTAAGAAAACGTTGGGGCAAAAAATTTGAAATTTGGACCATATATAGCCTCACTATTACTCTATTGTGTGCTAAAATTTCAGTTGGTTTCGTTATCCCATTTGTTAGTTATTAATGAAAATGTTGAAAAAATCACGGTTTTCTGCATATAAAATTATTGGTACCTCTCACTTTAACTCGTCGTAATTTTTTTGTTAACTGATAAAAAAAATCCAATTTTTACTAACGATAAGTCGAACTATTGCCTTTAATACTGTAAAGGTCATTTGTCTCAAAAGGTCTTCTTTTTTTATTTTTAAGTGAAACATAAGGGAGTGCTATCTCCGTAAATATGGCATTTTTTAAAAAAAAACTGACAGGTAGCAAATAACTGTAAACAACAATTTGAAAAAATATGTTAAAATAATACAGTTATAAATATGATATTCTTAAAAACAGTATCGGAATGGTCAATTACGGTCACGGTCCGATGCAGAGTATATAGTATAGCCTTTATAACTGTATTATTTTAACAAATTTTTTCAGATTGTTGTTTACAATTATTTACTACTCGAGTCAGTATTTTTCTTTTTTTAAAGAATGCAATATTTATGGACCCCCTTCTGTTTTGCTTAAAAAAAAAAAAAAAGATCTTTTGAGACAAATGACCTTCACAGTACTAAAGACTATAGTGCGACTTATCGTCAGTAAAAATTTGAATTTTTTTTATCAATTAACAAAGAAACTTACGGCGAGTTAAAGTGAGAGGTATCAATTTTATAGGCAGAAAACCGTGATTTTTTCAACATTTTCAATAACTTAATGGGATAACGAAACTAACTGAAATTTTAACACACAATAGAGTATAGTTTTTCCGAAGTCAGTTGAACATGCATAAAAAAACAAGCAATCAAATTGAATGAGTTTCATGGGCGTCCCTAAAAAAGTTTTCTGCTAAAGGTAGAAAATTATAATAATTTGTATATAATGTGTAGAAAATTTTTATTATATGTTCATTTGACCAACAACATATTTTAATTATTTATGTCCTCAAACAATTTTATTATATTGATGGTAAATTTCATTTTGTTCCGTTTCAAAAGGTCTCCAAAATGCCATGTTGTGATAATATTAATAAACAAAATATCCCTCTTATTTCTCCCTTTCGCAATTGTCATATGAATGATTGATAGAAGGTACCTATAGTAAATTAAAATTATCTGAATCACATCAAATTCCGCATTCCCGCACTGCACTGCCAAGCTACTTGTCTAGAACTGAAATTCACGACGCAGTTGACCGAAGCAACTGTATGGGACATTATTTGCCCGCACGCGCATTCTTCAACTGGGCGTATACATTTCTACCAGCTGCACGTTTAGTCCCACCAGACCTCTGTATGGGTATGGCTAAATAAATATGGGAACAAGTTTTTCAAATATTTCAATGCCGAGTTGCTGCGTAGGGACCGAGCCTGGTGCATACCTTGAATGTATGGTTCTTCAATTGACTTTTTCAAATTTTTCACCCTTATGCACCCTTATGAAATTATATGTACCTATATTATTTACCAGTAATTATATTCCAGTCCAACGGTATCTTGCTCAGTCATTTTTTGCAGTGGGAATCATTATATTGGAATTAGATAAGAACAATTTCTTGACGGTCTTACCTGCTAGGGGAATTCCATTACACATCTTGTTAATAATAACTTAAAATTTTAATAATATTTCCCTGATAGATACAATAATAATATATAATATAATATGTTATGCCTATACAATTTAGGGTGGGCCACAAAAAAAACGATTATTTTTTTTTCGTGTCTCCTGTGAAAATATATTAGTTTATCATGTTTTAAGAGCCCCCTCAAAACGTCAGGTCAAAGAAAAAATTTTTTAGAGGTCGTTCAAGATTTTTAAAAATGTCCAAAATCGTCAAATTTAATTTTTTTGTGTTTAATTTTTTTCCCGTTTTTTTATCATTTTCTAGGTTGAAAAAAATCTCGATTCTGAAAGTTTCAAATCGATATTTTAATTTCTAAAGGTCACTCATAATTATTTTAATTTTCAAAGTAGTGTATCTATGTTTTCGAGCGATCTCTAAAAAATAAATATCAACGAACTAATAATTTATTTTTTATTGAATTGAAATTGAAAGATAAAAAATTCAATTTTTGACGATTTTGGAAATTTTTAAAAATCTTGGGACCTCTAAAAAAAATTTTTGAGCTGATTTTTTGAGGGAGCTCTTAAAACATGATAAACTAACATATTTTCACGACACAAAAAAAATCGTTTTTTTTGTGCCACCCTACTATACATATTATTCTCCAAACGTAATTAGTAGCAAGTTAGTATAAGTATATATAAGTAGCTATATATTTTAGTAATTAGGCAGTGTTTTTAAATTAATACGACTCACCAAAGTAAAAAAATAATTCAAGTTATATCATTTTTATTGAAAAT